TTTTGTTCTTCAGTCTAGTTGTGGAGGATGTCGCTTCACTGGCCCATGTTGGTATGATCATTGTGCTCTTCCCAGGTGAGGCAATCCGTCGCCGGTCATTGGTCGGCCGCTCATGGAGGCTCACGGCAGCTCTTGCCAGCTGCCAGCTGCTCACGCTGGCTGCCGGCCACACATGGTAGCTTATGGCAGCCCACTGCAGCAAGGACTGCAGCCTACGCCGTCGCCAGCGACTCACGGCAGCCCAGCTCCAGGTCGAGCTGTTGTTCATCATCTTACCTATAGAGGGCGCAGCGTCACTGGCCCTTAATGTGGGATCCGAACAGCAGCCCTGCTGCTCAGAGCTGGCACTCCTAAGTGAGCTCGTAGCCAACTGAGCCACTCGGTCGGCCCCAGAGTACTATTTTTGTAACATCTCTGTAAAGTATGAGATTATTTCAAAATAAAAACAAAAAAAGAGCGCTTTAAGGAATATTCTTGTACATTATGTCATTTCATTTATGCATGAGTATAATATTAGCATATATCTAGAAGTGGAATGACCAGGTCCAAGGTTATTGTCCACTTTAAACTGTGGTTGATGCTGCCAAGACACCCTACAGAGAGGGCTGTATCAGTTTACATTCCCACCAGCAATATATGAGTGTGTGTATCACACAACACTCCTGCCAATATAGTGTTATGAAAATTTTGGATCTTAGCCTATCAGCCAGGTAAAAAGTTCACTGTATTTTTCATTTACATTTCTCTTATTATGAGCAATATTGAGCATCTATCCATAGTTTTATAATATTTCCTTTTTTTTGTCAACGGACTGTTGATATCCTCTGAACATTATTCTACTACATTTTCCATCTTTTTCTCATTGATTTGTAAAAGCTCTTTATATATTAAGGAAATTAGTCTTGTCTATAAAGCTCTTCATCACTCCAAGATTAAACCATTTTTTCATGTTTTACTCTTCTTATTCCTTTAGTTTTTTCCCCCTACTTAGAACTCAGTGTTGTTTATAATGGGAGTGTTGTAAGTCCTCATTGTTCGGAAAAGGGAAAGAACAAACAATTTATTATTTCCAATCAGGACTAAAACTTTCCAACATAATTCCAAGATTACATTAGTCAAGAGCACTTAATTAAGAAATGTGATTTCAAGGGCCGGCTGAGTGGCTCAGTTGGTTAAGAGCTCNAGTGGCTCAGTTGGTTAAGAGCTCGCTTAAGAGTGTGAGCTCTTAGCAACAGCGGTTCGATGCCCGGCCCAAGCTGAGCTGCCAATAGGTGGCAGGATGGCTCAGCTAAAAAAACAACAACAAACAAACAAAAACATATCCAAATTTCCCTCTTCTTATAAGGACACCAGTTATACTGGATTTGGGGCTCATTTTAACACAATAATGACTTCATCTTAACTAACCGAATCTGCAAAGACCCTGTTCAAAATAAGGTCACATTCATAGGTTCTAGGAGTTAGGACCTGGAGGTATCTTTTTGGGGCACATAATTCAAATCATAAGAAACTGGTTGCCTACAAGGGGTGTGTGTTAGTTTCCTGGGGCTGCTTGGCAAAGTACCAGAGAGTGGACAGCTTAAACAACGGAAATGTATCATCTCACAGTTCTGGAGGAGAGAAGTCCAAAAGCAAAGTGTTGGCAGGGCTGGTTCCTTCTGAGGCTGCGAGACAGAATCTGTTCCAAGCCCCTCTCTCAGCTTCTGTAGCCTCAGGTGTTCCTTGGCTTCTGGGCGGCCATCCTCTCCCTGTGTCTTCACATCGTCTTCTCACTGTTTGTGTCTATCTCTGTGTCCAAATTTCCCCTTTTCATAAGGACGGTCACACTGGATTAGGATCCACCCTAAAAACCTCATCTGAACTTGATCGTCTGCAAAGACCCTATTTCCAAATAAGGTCACATTCGTAGGTCTGGGGATGAGGACTCAAGATTTTTTTTTTTTTGGGTGGGGGCACAATTCAACCCATACGGGTGTGGGAGAACAGAATGGAAAGAATAAGGGACTTGGCACCGGGGAGCAGAGCTGAGGGGAATGTGCCATTTCTGAGGGTAACTTTTTGTAGATCTCTGACTCTCACAACCATGGTAATGTTTCACATACCTAAAAACTAAATAATTAAGAGCAACCAGGGTGTGTGGGGACTATCAAGTGCAACACGAACAGTAACAACATGCGAAGCTGTATCACGAACTACCTAACCACACTGGAGGAAGAATTAGTCTAAGGAACTTCAGCACATAGTATTCTGACTATATACATACATACATACATACATATATATATATATATATATATTTTTTTTTAAGATTTTTATTGGGGAATTGGGGGGATGGGGATAGGAACAGTGCTNCTGATGCTGCCAACTTTTTTGTGATGTTTGTGCTGAACTGTCAGTATTCAGGGAAAGTGTCTCTGGTGATAGAAAATGGTTGTCACGGGGGATGTCCCACTCAGAAAGCTGCGGACAAGCCACTCACAGGCCCCCGCACGCTGAGGGCAGCTGGTCAGGCCTGTGCTCACCATTTCTGGGACATAGAAGATGCTGCGGATGTTGAGAGGGGCATCTGTCTTGTAGTGCAGGGTGTAGCGGGGCTTGTCGTGGGCCTGCGCGATGTAGCGGTAGAACTCCTCATGCTGCCACTCGCCCACATCCTTAGGGTCCATCATCCAGACAGCCTGGAAATGAGGACCAACGGGGCATGTTGTTTCAGGTGCAGCCTCCCAACTGCAGCCTGGAGCGGAGCTGGTGGGCTTGTGGCGCCTGGGTGCTGGTGAGCCAGGGACCGGCCTCCTGGGACACACCAGGATGGTGGCCTCAGGCCAAGCCCCTCCCTTGCCTCCAGCCCCACCCGCTCCAGTGCTGGGGGAAGGGGTGTCCCAGAATGGATGGGGAGTGGGGGGAGGGTCACAAAGAGAGACACACAAAAGGCTCTGGGAACAAGTGCCTCCTCCCCAGTACAGTGTGCCCAAAAGGGCCAACAGGAGGCAGGATCTGGACAAGGCCACAGGACCATAAATACTAGTGATCAACGGGCAATGCAAAGGGATAAAGCAACAGGGTCTAGCCCTTCGATGGACTATCATTCAACTATCAAAAGGAAGGGAGCACTGATACGTGCTACACATGGCTGAACTATTAAGACATTGTGATAAGAAGCCAGACGCGAAGGTCACACTGATCTGCAATGTCCGTAAGAGGCAAATCCATAGAGACAGAAAATAGACTGTGGCTGCTGGGACTGGGGGAGGGAAACTGGGGAGTGACTGCTAATGGGTAGTTGGGTAGTTTCTTTTTGGAGTGATGAAAATGCTGCAGAATTCACTGTGGTGATGGGTGTATGACTGTGAATACACTAAAGACTGCTGACCAGTACACGGTAAAAGGTGAACTGTGCGGTGTATGCATTACAGCTGGTGCACGAGGATGGGCGGGAAGGGGCGAGACCCTGCCTGCATCACTATCTCGCCTTATCCTGGGCTTCTGACAGCGTCACCCAGTCCCACGTTTGCCCACGCAGCCCCGAAATGGGCCAGCTGGCCTCCAGCTGCCCGAGCCTGCAGGCCGTGGTGGGTCTCACCTGCAGGGTATTAATGCGCTTTCCATTAAGGTACAAGGGGAAGCTAACGAAGTTACTGTACTTTGTCACCACGTCTGGAAGAGACAAGAAAAACAAGAATCACTACAGGAAGCTTCTGGGGACTAGTTAGTGCCATGCCCATGTCACAGGGCACAGCAGAGACACATCCTGCCTGCACGCGCTGAGCAAAACTCCACTGGAACCAGATGTCTCAAGGATCAGGTCCCCATGAGGCCATGTCGCCTTCTTGGTGACATAAATACTGTTTTACGAACTAACAGTGAACACTGGAAGGCACTTGGCACCTTCGGTGAGCATTTAGTAAAACACGGACAGAAAAACCACCACCCAGAAGCACCCACTCTGGTTCTCAGTGAAGCCTGGGCTCAGACAGGCCAGGTGAGTGGGCCGATGACATCTGACAACAAAGGCAGGGTGAGGAAAGGACTGTGTGTGACCCCCAGGTGACTGAAGACAGCGCTGCCCAAAGGGAGGTAAAGAGAAGAAACCTGACATTGTCAGTAGTCTGGAGGCTAAGCCTCATGCCCTGTTTCCACACTAGCCAGTGGGGATTCTGTCCCTGGTGGGCCTGAGCACTCAGCCCCGGGAGGTGCCCCTCGGCCTCAGCTCTGCCCATGTCCCCTACACACTCCCAGCCAGATGGAATCTCCTATAACACGCCAGCAGGAGGTGTCTCGCTGACCTGGTGCCACTGGCCACACATCCCCAGAGGCCCAGGCCCTACTCACCTCGAACCCGGGCCTCACTGGCAAACTCTTTGCAGTCTGACTTGAGGTGCATGATGATTTTGGTTCCAGTTCTAACTCCTGAGGCCTCAGCGATTTCAAACACCCCGGAGCTAAGACAACGGGAGAGGGAAAGTCAGTTCCACACGTCACTGCTGACAAATCCTATATGACCCCAGGGCAGGGGGACACCCCGTGTGTGTGATATGGGGGCTCTCGCTTACTCACCCATCTGAAAGCCACTGGTAACCAGGGCTGTCCGGGCCGGCCGAGCGGGAATAGACCTCGACTCTGTCGGCCACCATGAAGGCCGAGTAGAAACCCACTCCAAACTGGCCGATGATCTTGCTGCTGGCCTCCGCCTGGCTCTGCAGCGCATCCAGAAAGGCCTGCAGTGGCAAAGGCTGGTCAGAGGGAGGGTGTCCCTTCCCTGGAGGGAACTCCCTTTGTGACTCTGTGCGTGTCCCTCCAGCACAGGCTCAGACCGCATTTAATCCTCAAGACAACCACACTGCCTTTTCACCCCGTTTTCCACACAGAGAACAAAGGCACAGAGCGGTNACAACACGAGACCACACACAAGTTTGATCACCCATCAAAAATTATTAGAGCTTGGATGGGATGTGTTGCCACATCCACCATTCTCGCCTGACCTTGCGCTGTCAGACTTCCACTTGTTTTGCTCTCTTCAAAACTCCTTGCGTGTAATAACGTTCAATTCAGATGAGGCTGTAAATCAGCACTTTGTTCAGTTTTTCACAAATAAAGACAGGTCCTTCTACAAATGAGGAATTATGAAGCTCACTGAAAGATGGCAAAAGATTATTGAACAAAATGGGCAATATATCATTGGTTGATGTTATTTTTAATATAAATAAATGACGTTTGAAAAACATAGACAAAATATATCATGACTTTTTCGAAGATCCAACTGATGCAAGTTCTACACAGAACACTGCGACTCCAAACTGCCAAGAGGGTAAGTGTCTGAGCCACTAGAATGAGGAGGATGGAGTTCCTCCAGGAGAGAAATGAGTAGTCACGGCAGTCACGGACTGGCCAGGTTCTTAACATCTCCATGTGAGCAGCTTCCACAAATGCCGAAAGGACCTTAGACATTCTTTCATCCAATACTCCTCCTGGCATGTACCACCTGGCAACCACTCCCTCCTGCCTGGTCACACGAGTGGACAGAGGTGCAGCCTTCTGGGGTCTCCTTCCAGCAGTGACATGCACGTAGCACTTCCATGGTCCCAGCCCCACCTCCAGCCATGTGGTCCTCCCGTCTAGTCCCTTGTCCCTGCACACCTCTGAGCTTAGTCTCCTAAAGCTCTCTTCTCTCCGATCCATCCCTTAAATTCCTACATATTCTTCTGACACCAATTCCATCTTATTTCCCCAATTTTGGAGAAGTGATTTTTTAATGCAGCCTCGTCAACTCTAAATGGTTCGGTGGGTATTCCAGACCCTCCATCAAACCACCAGAATCGTACCTTCTTCTGGAAACCCCAGCCCAACAGGTTTGCTGACACCCCTCATGCCCTTGTGCTCCTCCCTGTATGGTCCCCAACACTGGGGTGCCCCCGCCCCTCTCTCCCTATGCCATCAAGCTCGATCTTGGCACACAGGGAGTGCTTCATAAGTTCCTGTTCACTTGCCTCCAAAACATTACCAACACATTACACCCTAAAAAAGAGATGCTGGGTTTTCTCACTGGTCAATTTTATTTGCAGCAAACTGTTCCTGGTCCATTGCATTTGCATAAAGGCAGAATTTACTGAACTGGTCATTTATCCTCACTTCCTGTCCCACCTTGTTCTGCTAACAGAGTCCTTTCCTTGCCGTCAGTCTTTTGGTCCCTCAGAAAAGAACAGGTTGCATTCTTCCATTACCTCTCTAGCTAAAAAACCATCCCTACCCCGAAGGAAACCAGGAATCATGCGAAATAAAAAATTCAGAGGCTAACAACAGTTCTTAGTATTTTGAGACCCCCATAAACTACCTGTTCTAAGCCTGCCCCCAGATTAGGGGGGTTTGATTTATGGCCAGCATATTTTTAATTTTTTTAAAATTGGGAACATTTGTGTTTTTCCAGGACCCATCAGCTCCAAGTCAAGTATTAGTTATTTCCATCTAGTTGTGGAGGGCACATCTCAGTGGCCCATGTGGGCATCGAACCAGCAACCCTGGTGTTATAAGCACTGCACTCTAACCACCTGAGCTAACCAGCCGCCCCCCGGCATACTTTTTTTTATTTCCAGTCTTGCATGTATAAATATTTTAATCAAGAACACATCATAGGGCCGGCCGAGTGGCGCGATGGTTAAGAACTCGCTTNAGTTTTGCCAAAGGAAACCCTGCTGGTACTGCGAGTGATTAATAGGTACCGCACCTCTTTCTCTGAGTACAAGGAACGGGCAACAATGTCCAGAAGCTTCTTAGTCTCCGCCTGGAACTCATGTTTGGAAACGGAACCTAGTAATGAATCACAGACACAACCAATAAATTTTGATTTTCGTACAAGACCATGCTAGGTAACAGTCAAAAAAAGTTTAAGGTAATGAGTTTTAAACATTTTTCAAAGGAGTGAACAAAAAAGAAAGAAACCAACTCTTTGGGGCTCTCAGCCAGGTCTCAGGAGCAAAACAAACCCAGTAGCTCCCCCTCTCTCTCCAAAGAGAGGGGTGGAGGAGGAGCACAGCTCTCACCTGCCTCCGGCCCACGAGGCCGCACGCCTGGCTTCTGAGCAACCTCACGGAACTGCAGAGGCTGGCATGCCCCAAAGTGTCTGGTCCTGAGAACCAAGCTGGCTCCCACAGCCAAGCCCTGGATTCTATTCTTCAAATCACTGGTTTCCAAATTAATTACTTAGAAAGCAAATTAACAAGGAAACCTTGCTCTCTACTTAACCTAAAACATCACAGATTCTGTTGTCAACTCGTTTGAAAGCCAGAAATGGACCCACTTTGGGACTGGCTAGAGGCTGCTTCTCTCTACTTGTTAGGAATGAAAGGATGGCTGTAGCGTGCGCTCCCGCGTTGGCAGGGCCAATGCTGAGTTTCCGTCCCGCTTCCATGATTATTAGCAGATGTGCTATGAATCACCACTCAGAAGGTGGCCCGCCGCGAACTCACTGGTGACCAGCAGAGGGGGCAAGACACACCAGGATGGAAGTTAGAAGTTCCTTGCGAAGACGGAAGCACAGGACACATTCATTGTTTGGGGGAACCCTCCCTCCAACCAAGGCCTTCCTGCGTCTTAAGTGAGCGGGTGGCTCAACCAATTATTGCTTCTACCTCAAAAACCTGCCCTCAAGAGGCAGCCACAGCTAAGCCAGCCCAGGCCCAAGCGCAGCCGAGCACACACCCTGCACCGTCTCCGTGCTGCTGATGATGGAGTGGAGGGACGCCTCCTCACGGTCCTCGGCAGCTTGTGAGCTGAATGGCCGTCCAATGTGGAAGCTCGAAGCCAGGTTTTGCCTGGGGCTTCTGGACTGGACTGGGGCCCTCCAAGGACACAGAGCTGGTTTTCCTGAAAAGACAAACATGCACAAAGGAGAGTTACCAGAAAAAGAATACCCAAGTTTGTTCATTCACAAATATATTTGGTAACATGGCCTCACATATGTCAAATATCAAGAAAGTATTAGAACTTGGGCAGAGCGGCTGGGGCCATTTCATGCCACTTCCCGTGTACGTCCCCCAGTGCAATCTCGTATAAACCCCCCAACTCAAACATCCCCTCATCCCTCAATGCTCACAGCCCCCACAGGAGCCTGAGTAACGACAGCCCAGCCCAACTTACTGTGCAGCTGCCATGAATAAAATGGAGAAAAAATGTCCCCCTGGGAGGAATTCAAATTTTAAATGGTAATATTCAGTCTCATCATCTTCTAAAGAATCTCTGTTGATTCTTTTTCTTCCCTCCTTTGTCCCAAACTATCAGTTTTTTAACACTGGTGTATTTAAAAACTGAAAACCAGCAAGTGATCTCCTTCCTGTGACCAGGAAGGGGTCTCACAGACTCTCACGTTTGTTTTCTGTAACCTGCTCAGCATAGTAGACCCAGGAACCACTGTAAGGGAAGATGGGAAACCTGTCCATGTGACACTGCTGTACCGTCTGGCTGACAGACACATCCTCTGCCTTCAGATGCTACAGACATGCGCAGACACCTCCACTGCACCTAGCAGGAACCAACCTTTACTAGCAGTCCTTCAGGACAGTGTCACACACCAACTCCAGGACCAACAACCTGGGGACTTGGCCCCGGTCGGTACGTGCCTCATGCTGAGATACAGGGAAGACATGCAAACCCCTTCATGTGAAAGCCTAGACTTCATTGAACTGTGCTGGTCTGCTATGGACTACCATGTGGAATGGACAGAAATGGGTGATTCAGAATGCCCAGAAATAACTTGATTTTAAAACTCAACATNTACAACCCAGCAATCCCACTCCTACTTTACCCAAGAGAAATGAAAACATCAGTCCACACAAAGACTGCAACACAGATATTCACAGCAGCTTTACTGCTAATAACCCCAAACTGGAAACCCAGATGCTCATACCACATCCATCCAGTGAAATACTGCTCAGTGACAAAAAGGAACAAACGACTGATACAGGCAACAGCGTGGATGGACCTCAAAGCATCACACTAAGTGAAAGAAGTCAGACAGAAAAGACTACCTACTGTGTAATTCTGTTTCTATGAAATCCTAGAAAATACAAAACCATAGTGACAGAAACCAGATCAGTGGTTGCTAGGGGTAGAGAAGGGGGGAGGGTAGAGAAGGGGGGTGATGATATGGATGGTTACAGGGAAGTATACACTGGTCAACACCCACTGAATTGTACACTTGAATTCGATGCCTTTTACTGTATGTAAATCATACCTCAATAAAGTTTATTAAAACAATGACAACAACAACAAAGAAAGGCACACACATACACAGACCAGAGAGAATTAGTGAATAAGAGAGGCCCTGAGAAGGTAAACCAGCGCACTTGGTGGAGGCAGGAAGCCCGAAAGAGAAACACCCGCTCAGAGCCCTACTGAAGCGTGTACCCTGCCACCCCCCAGAGATGCACACCCCACAATTCTACCCATGACCCTGGGGTGACAGGTCCTGAAGCAGCTGTCTCGGGAACATAATGGCCCCCTCAGGCCCACTGTGATGAAGCCCCTTTGCCTTTCTAACTTTCTGACCTGAAAATTTTCAAAAGGTTACAACAGCAAGCAAAAGTGTTGCTTCGTCTAAAGCAAGACTATTAATCTGAACGGCAGGCTGGGCGTAAAAATAGCACCACAGACTATTTAATCACAGGGAAATAAGCATTACAGGGAGAAAGTACAGTTAAAACTGTGAAGAGTATCTTAAAAAATATATAGTTTAAAAACGTTTATATATGTAAATAAATACATCGGCACCAAACACCTAGATGAACAGATGCTAAAATGTTAACAGTAGTTATCTTGGAGGGATGTGGTGATTTTAAATTTTCTTTTCTACTTATTTGTATTTTCCAAATTTTTTATATTGAATGATTGTTTTCACAGTATATTAAAACAAGAGTTATTGTAACAGAAAAGATGGTCAGCACGTCATTTGGGGCCTAGAGACGTTAACAAAAAAGCAGGTCCATCTCCTCTGTCCCAGCGTGTGAAGGGGGCCACTGCCCACGGGCCCTGCCTGGTCACCTCCATGGCTAGTGCTGGCACCAGCACAAGACGCAGGGAGGTGTGCCGCCCGTCAGGACACAGGACGACGTACCTGGATCGTGATGGTGCCTTTCTCAGCATCGGTCTGCAAGTGAATCTCCATTTCTGGCAGCGGCTGGCCTTCAGACACCAGCTTGTGACGCAGTTTTTCCAAGGCGTCGCTGGCATTGGAAATCAGCTCCCGTATAAACACCTACAGGAATGGAAATAAGATGCTAACAGTGCAGGATCTGTTTGGTTAGCAGCATTTGCAGCCACTGCTCAAAGTCAGGGGGAAAGCACCACAGGACAGTTAGGTTTTTAACCATAAAGTAAAGTTTTCACTTTACTCAAAGGCAGCTTCTCCAGGGCAGGTCACAGAATGGTTTAAGGCAGTCACTTTTCCCTGACACAGCTTTATGGAGTAAACT